TTCGTATCAGAGTTGGGTAGTCTCGAAACCCTACTCTCATATTAACAAAAAAGGGCACCGACCACATTTTATTAAGCAAGTAAAATATTGTGACAGTGAAGACGTGATTGGAGGATATAGAAAATGGGATAGGCCATGGCAGAACGGGAGATATCATAACTGTTTGCTCAAAGGATCGGCTTCACTTGTCTCTTTGACGAGTTGTACTATGGTGCTACGAATGGAAAAATCTCACTGACGATGCCGACGAAGCGTCTGGGAATGTACCACGTCCACGGTCAGACTTTGGAAATAATTATGCATACAATGGACTCAGGACAAGGTGCTTTCCTATTAGTCTTCCTACCATTATGACCAAGTTGCGAGAACAAGGTAAAACAACTTCTATAAGAATTTGGTCAACTTAAGTCGCTTAATGGAATTTAGAGACTGGCAGCAGAGATTTCCCACAAATAAATGAGTGGACCTCATGATGCCATTGAATTTAACTTATCCTTTCCTCCTGTACTAGGTCGTGAATATTGTTATGACAGTAGACCAGCAAAGCCATCCTTTTCCTATTGACATTTTATTGTGTTTTTGCCCTTATAATCAACCACGCTACTTATATTCAATGTTAGTAGGTTCCGGAGAAGACAGTAATTCCTGTTGTTTAAGAGGATTTTTTGGTAGTTTCAATATCTCATAAACATGCTTTATGATATTTGGGCTCAGAATGAATTATTTAAGTTGCAGTTGTGCAAATTACGCTTCGAGTACTCTTCTTAAACAGAGTAGTTTAATTCTCATTTCTGTCGGGGATGCATAATAATACGTTAACAGTTGACTAACTCGTTGGTCATTGTAGCAGGCCTTGAAAAACCCTAATCAGGCTCTGGTCAAGCATTGGGGAGCGTTGGTCTTCGATGCGAACTATGATTCAGTTTAACATTAATACATTATTGATTATATTATGTATATAATATAATATAATATAATCTATTATATTATATATTCATATGCATACATATAAATATATATTGTAATAATAAATTATATATATATATATAATGATATTATTATTATTTTCACTCACAATAATAAACAATTCCTAATAAATGATAACAACAACAGTCATTAGCGTTGGCTTGTGCTGGTGCTGAGGCTTGGATTGTAAATATTATAAAAAAGGTTTGTTCCCAAAGTTTTTTATGGTGCAAGTACAGATGGTTCTTGATGAATCCCTTATTGAACGGATATCAATTTTAAGTGAAAGTGTACAATTAAGATGTTCATAGGTCGAAGCCACTCATTAATTTGAATTAATTGTAAAGATTATACCATGTTGATCCCGCGGTCGCAGGATGGAAAGCTGAAATCATATTTACGCAATTCAATAGTCAAGAGTTCAAGGAACTCATACTTCGATATCGGGTAAGGACAATTTGCGAATTCCTTCCACCCACCTGTTCAGACAAAGGGAAAGGTATGCCAGCCTAAATTTACTCAGAGATTCAAGAGGAGTCCACTTTCGTCCTTCAAATCTCTTCATTATAAACATTTATCTGATGATTTGTTAATAGTTTTATGCAATTTCACACTGTATTCGGTGGGAAAGAGTCGGGTAGAAGAGGTCCTTAGGCTGGCTTCTCATGGAGCGCTTTGAATTTCAATGAAAAAGCTACGTTTCATCTTCACTCTGTCTCAATCTCCATTCGGACATTTTAATGCTCTAGCCAAAATAAGACCCCAAAATGCACTAATTTTTAAAGCATTT